TATCTATTTGAAGAGGCATGAGTATTTTTGGCGTTAAAATAGAGGCTGAAATATTGTAACCATCTCTAAGCTCAATTCAAACGCAGTGGCTCGACAAATTACAACCTAGTCCAATTTTCACTTTTCTGGGGTTATTCAATATGATTCCGAAAATCCACTTTTGAAAGCTTGAAAACGCCGAAAACTAGCGCTTTTTAATGCCCTTCCCTTTGATATTGGACGAGTGGAGCAAGGCCAATGCTAAATCGTGGCAGGACCCAATGTTTATAACGTTGCGGCGGGCAGCTTCCAATGGTGAGAAGGAAATTGTCAACTCGTCCGGATGCGTGTGAGAATGGCCTGCGCGTGTAAGTTTGAGAGCTATTTTCTTGGCAAGGAAGGCATGCTGTGCAACCGGGATTGCACCATTTTCATACTTGGGCAATAAGGAATTTACCGCGTTAAAATTTTGAGTTGTTGTGTTTTGCCGACCCACTGCCTTTAACACTGAAAAGCAGCACAAACATTCTTTCTCATTCTCTCCCGAAAAATAGCCTTTCGTGTAGGCGCAATCACAAGATTTCAAGGTGTGGTTCACTTTCTTCCCGATAGGATGATGAGTGCGCAAAATATGTTTTGGCCAATTATCCATGAATTTTTTCACTCAAATTGCTGGCAGATTGGTCCTACTGCTAGAGCTGGTTCCCGTAAATGGTGTTGGATGGTTACTGTATGGTGCCAGTTGAAAATGTACGTGCCCCACGAGCCAAGATTAGGTAAAGTTGGAGCGAAGCGCAGACCCGAAACGTCGAATTTGATCTCTTGTTGATGTTCCACTAGCAGACGTTTGCTCACGTAAGCTATTAGGACTGTCAAAGGCACCTACATACTGTCCGCTCTGTCACGACTGCCTTGCCCGATCTTACGGCATTACAAGCCCATGTTCACGCGTCTCGGGATAGTAATCGCACCATAGTACCCCGATGAGTTATGTACCCTTTCCCAAAATTTAGATGTGCGTTGCAGGATTTGCGAGCAAGGCAGATTTGGAGGTTACGCAATGTTAAACTCGCACAGGGACCCGCTTAAAGGCAGTGTCCCACCAGACTGGGGTATCTGGCTCTCGTAATGATGTGATAGTAGACCCCCTACCTAAGCGATGACTGAGGTTCGGAGCGAAAAAGGGGGTCTACCAAGCCTGAAATTTGCTCCGAAAGTGGGCCGAATCTTACGGTAGGATCGGGCGACTGCGAGATGCATGCAAGGTTGAGACGCAGAGTCGTTGTGGGTCCCTGCACTCATGATGTGTGCGCTATACGCACTCTGACCCTGCAAATAGATATTGCCGTGTGGGCGGCGTCCGGGCCTACCGTAAGATTCGGCCCACTCTTGGAGCGAATTTCAGGCTTGGTAGACCCCCTTTTTCGCTCCGAACTTCAGTCGTCGCTTAGGTGGGGGGTCTACTATTACATTATTATAAGAGCCAGTACCCCCAGTCTGGTGGGACGCTGCCTTTAAAGTGCTGTGGCTTTGGCAGCTCATTTATTTGCAACAAGTCACGGGTATCTATACTGAGAATGGTAGAGGTGACCGAGGTAAGCTTTATGGAGTCAGCTTCTTACTACAATTGTCAGTAATGGAAGTACTTCCAGGTAGATGAGAACAAAGTGTTAAAGATTGGTGGGCGTGTGAAAATCAATGTAGGTGGAACTATCTTCGAAACCACGGTGACCACCCTCACAAGATCAGAAAACACTGAGTTTTTCCGCTGTTCTAGTCCTTCGACGATAGCTTCATGAAGGTGCTCTCCGCTATGGTAGCGGATCGCTGGCGAAATAGTGCGGACGAATAGTTCGTGGACCGAAGTCCGACTTACTTCGAGAAAGTATGAGATAAATTTCATTCCCTGAACATGATCAACTGAAACGGGTTTACTTTGAGATACTGAACTACCTGCGAGATGGAGAAATTTTTGCATTTCCCACAGACTTCTCCGGAGGGAAGCTGAGGTGAATTTTTCGGTTATTGACACACCACCTCCATTCGTTTTCAGTTCTATAATCTACCGGATCTTGCCGACATGTCTACCCCCGGTCTCCATGTGGAAAACTGGGTAGAGTGGAAGAGTAGCGTCGTGGAAGCTTACTGGGAGTTCTTTGTGAGGTGACGTTTGATGATTCGATTAGTTTGTAGTAAAGCATTGTTCCTTTATGTTCCCCTAGAAAAATCCTGAAGTTTTGGCTTTTTTCAGGTATGAATATAACAATAGAAGGACATGTCGGCAAGATCCGGTAGATTACATGTGCCACTTCTGTAGACTTTGCCAATTGTGAGGATTGCGGATCCCAGGTGTACGACTGTTCATTACGCGTACCTCTCAAATTCCGCTATGATGAATGGATGCACGTGAAACCTCGAATGCAATTCATGAATGAAAGGGTGACAAAAGTAATGAAGTCGTTTCTCAAAATTTACCAATAACTATCTGGTAATATTTCAGGCTGATTCAAGATTCTGTTGCAGCGTACATTGGGACAACGGATGGCGCGTCCATGTTCCGCAATCTGCATTAACCGGCCACATCGCACTAATTCTTCTGCTTATTCCCACATTCCACTCACATTTTTAGCTTCCTAGCACTTGTTGACCTCTACGGAACTTCTCTCAACTAAATGATAAAATCCACAAGTTAATCCTAATAAGCTTTGAACAACTATACACAAGGGGTCCTTCCTTTCGATATTACTATTACATAACACACCGCTAGTTTATTTTTTTTTATGTACCGCACCTTAGCAATAAATGTTATGTGCACTTTGATCAGCTGTAATTCAGTGAGCTAGTGTGCAGTGCTTAGAACACGTTACGCAATTTACATAAAATATAGATTAGCCAAACGTCGATACAGTTGCGGTACAGTATCGTGATACATTCAAAAACCGGTGGGGATTTCTCGTTTGTTACTTGTTACTACTGATCTCACTACTACTCTCTACTGATACTTGATCTCAAGCAAAATATGTAATTTCGAAAATCCATCAACTCTCGAAATATATTCGTGCAAAAAAATTCTCAAATACACTGCATGTTGTGCAAAGAAAATGTCAGTTGTCTGTGTTTTGGGGCGAAATAAAGAAAAACGGTCCCCAGCTTACGAGGAACATTTGCATGTGCTCGGAAGTTTGAAGGAAGGTGTATGGTGCTAAAAGTGGTTACTTTCTTGTACAACGGTAGTCAGCACGGGTGTTGCCAAGCGGAACACGAAAGGCTCTAGAAATATCAAACGCCTGTAGCTTTGGGGATCTGCGAGAAAATTTACACACCTTCGACGCGTGACGCGTAAAAGACGTGGTTTTTTCCTGATAAGATTTCACCATTGAAACAGCACACTGACCTTTGCAGAGGAAATAGGAGCATGGGACTATTTAGATCAAGAGTATCTGCGGCGCGCTTTCGCTTTAGTGTTTCGAATGAAGGACGGTCAAAAGTGAGGATCAAAGGTAAACATTTACAACAGTTTCTACAGATAATGTTGTCTATTATGTTTCCTTCCTTTGCAAAGAAATATTAGGTCATTCCGAAAGTAATTTCGCTTTTTTCAAACGTTCGCCACATTTGATAGAACAAAGGTTTTTAAGAGACTTTGGATGCATTCGATGCAGAATTTCATTCTCTTTCTAAAGGTTATGAAATTGTTGCAAAACAGTCAATGAGCTTTCAGAAAATAACCAAAATTTGCGATCCATGCTTTTTGAGATGGTCAAGTTTCACGATTTTTTAAAACTTTCATATCAATCCTTAGAAGAAGTTCAAGTGACGATTCGATAGAGTAAACCTTATAGAATACAGAACTGCTTTTTTCCTCTTTTCACATCTTGGCATACATCTTTAACAGAGTTTTAACTGATGCTACCGATTTCCATACTTAGGCAGCTAAATCCTCGTAGAACATCAAAAGAAGAGCAGCTCGCGCATCAATGGATGCAGCATTTTCTCCTCTTTCTAACAGGTGTTTCTTGTTTTCGATTTGTTTAGTTTCCGGGGATAAATCATCATAACTCATTTTTTTAGCGAGCCTCAGGCTGTACCCGAAAAACACAAAATTTGATATTTCGAATCCGTAAACCCTCACTTGCTTTATAAATTTAATGCTAACTCATAGTACCATCTTGGTATTCTCAAATTCCGAATAATTATGATGTTTGATGCGATTGTGGCCGATGTGGGCCTGCCAAAATCCGATGGTTTTGTTAAAAAATCTTTTAAAAAATTACGGCGAGCTATGAGAAAAAGTCAAAAGTAGTGCTATATTCTATAAGGTTTACTCTATCGAATCGTCACCTGAACTTCTTCTGAGGATTGATTTGGAAGTTTTAAAAAATCGTGAAACTTGACCATCTCAAAAAGCATGGGTCGCAAATTTTGGCTATTTTCTGAAAGCTCATTGACTGTTTTGCAACAATTTCATAATCCTTAGAAAGGGAATGAAATTCTGCATCGAATTCATCCAAGATCTTTCAAAAACCTTTGTTCTATCAAATGTGGCGCCCGTTTGAAAAAAGCGAAATTACTTTCGGAATGGCCTAATAATTTCAAAAAGCGCTTCTGGGAGAAAAATAGTTTCCAGGCGGCAATACTCCTCGGTCACCCTGTATTCAAGCGCCTTCTTTTCAAACAAAAAAAAATTCTACATGAGTAGAAAAACTACTTTACCACAAAGCAAGAAGTCACACTTGATACACATTTTAGATTTGGGGTTGTTGAGCATTGATTATGGACAAAGACCTAGCAGAACATTTTCATTTTTATCCAAAGTTGTACTGTACGATCACTGCTTTGGTATCACCAATTCTTTCGCTTCACAAATTGGATTGCGAATAGATCGACTATATTTGTATATTTTCTTTAAGATGGAAAAGAGCATATAACAAAGAAGTGAATAAATAGCAAAGCACTTGTTTCTTTGTTTGACAAGAGAACAATATTCACATATACAAAGCACATACTCACATAATCACAGACTCCAAGCACATGAAGAAATTATCTGAATTCTCAGAACAATCCTTCTTAAAATTTAGTTACCTATGATGAAAGCGTTAGTCAGTGCAGCGCTCTTACACTCTACAAATCCATCCAAAACCCCAGCATATGAAAGGAAAATGTATGAGCTGCTGTCATCGCCACACATTTGAAGGCAGAAACTATCAATTTCGATGAGCAGTCGTGTTCAGAAGGAAGTTATGAGATCACCAGATGTTAGACAGCTGAAATGACTGGGACAGTATTACAATCTTTTGTAAGTGAATCAAAGGCTCGCATCGATAAGGTGGTAGCACAGTGAGGTTCAGAGGTTGAGTGAACGATACATTTGTTTGTGGATTGAGTGACGATCGCTAAGCTAAGTCGGTAAAAGAGAACTAAGCAAAATGGGGCAGAAGGACGAACAAACAAGAACAGCAGGTGAGAGGATGAACGCTCGCGGATTTGATGTGTGTGAGAAGGAACAGTCCAAACTATTGCATGTGCGCCACCAAGAAGCTTTCGTTTAATTAATGGGTCTAAAATTCCAATTTTTCACGTCACGCCCATAACACCATGCTAACACACCGCCAGAATATCACAACAAAGTAAATGTCAGACATAAGAGGGTCACATAGGCGACATGGGAAAATTACATCATGACATCTCACATTCGAGAGGAAACTATACGCACATGGTGCTATTGTCATTGTGAATCGGCGAAAAGTCAAAACGAGAAGTAACACCATTGACTTGGAGACTGTCATCATCATGTGTTAATCCGACTTCTGCTGCTGAAAACATGACCACATGATTTTTAGGAACTTCAGGCAACGAACTGATGGTAAAAATGAGTCACCTTGAGCAGCGATATTCTCCTTCCATTTCTGTAGTTCAGCAACGCTTTTCTTATACTCCTCTACCTCGGAAGCAATGATGTTTTGGTAAGTCTGCAGCAGGACTCCACATAAAAAGGTCAAAACTGAAAAATATTATAATCTCACTTCGTAGTCCACATGAACACCCTCCTCCCATTTGTTCTTGTCTATGGCGGATCCCTCATCTAGGTAAGTGTAAACCTTGGGCTTTGTCTCTTCGAATCTTATGGAAGATACCTGCAATGTCGAAATGACATCTACTAAATTTTTCCCACAGTAAGTAATTCTAGTTTAAGGATGCGTAGAAGCAGGGAGTATGCGATACTCATAAAATGATTTCTCTGTAATTGAGGCAGTCGCAGACCTGCCTAGCCTTCCTACGTTCTTTTCTAGTCTCTGGAGCGTGCAATATAGATGAAGTGGATGGACGAGACTCATCGAGGTCCTCGAATTCACAAGTGTACTGAAATAATGTTTACATTGTGATTATGCCACTCATATGAGTTAACTCACTTTTTCGCTCATAGCCTCCATCAAAGCTGGTATGTCTTCTTCCATCACCAAACTTAACAAGGAATGACGAACAGGGTTGCCATCACCAGCAATTATCTGGAGACGAGATATGAGGACGCCATCGGGGAAGTTTTATTTGACTGAAAATTCACGAGCTTACCACCGTATCAAGATCAGGTGGCAATCCACTAAGGGGATGATGTTCTTCATCGTCGTTGTCGGAAGAAGATTCTTCATTGTTCTGGAGCAAAAATATGTGAAAGTGATTTTGATAGTTACCATGATACCTTCAGCGTTGGGCGAGAGACGCGTTCGCCGAGAAGTTCAGGAGATTTCGCGAAATGCGGGTAATGCGTCATAGCTTGATGATGTGCAGTGTCGAAATTTTGCCTAGTGATCTAAAAATCGCGCAGTAGTATATAAAGATACAGAATATGTCCATATACATATATCAAATTATTGGCTAGTAATGATTTACTATCTGATCTGACGGCTCAATGTCAACGAATGGAACTTCGTATGACTTTTCGTTGCTCACAGGGCTTGGAGTTTTCGATTTCTCCTCTATATACTTTGCTGAGAGACTCTTTCTAGGTGCCTCCTGTTGAACTGGTGCCGTCCATGAAGTCGGTGATGTCGAAGGTGTCTTTATCGTCGAAGGTACAGACGGTGATACATCTACACTGTCGTCATCATCGTCTAAAAAGTAATGAATTGAACTCATTCGTGCTTTGCAATCTTAGTAACCGCCTATGGGCTTATGTCGGATTTTGAACGCAAGTCTTGCACCATGAGTTAGTTCAAGAAAAAGCCGTTCAAAATCACGCTCAGAAGACCGTTTTGTTTGTGTAGTATTTTTTTATTGCTAGAGATTGTAGTACATATTTTATCTTCCATATCGGAAGTTTTATTCTAAACAGTATCCAAGCTCGAAAATGGAAAACCGAAAATCATAACTCTTCGTGGAAATCTTCGTTCAGAACGAATTTATTTTAGTTAGAGTGAGTAGGCTATAAACCCAAACGATTAAGAAAATTCAGAAGTTTCGGACTTTTGGCATTTCTGACAATTAAAGTTCAGAAATATAATTTGTGTTTGTTTGTCTTCAATATTTGTTTGACAGTCATATTTTTGCTAACACTAGTGGAAAGAGCATATCGTGTCACACCTGAATCTGGGGGAGATTACGGATGTGCAATTTTCTAGCCTAATGGTTCGTTTTAGTAGTTCTCCTTGACCACTTTCTTCACAACAGCATCATATCATTATTCCAAATGATTAAGCACTGACTTCAGCGAATTTGCAAGGACCATAAAGCATAGCAATGAAGCTGGGCGTTTTTGGGCCCAGATAAAGAAGGAAAAGCTGAGAAATACTCTCCTGCAGGATACATTGCATGCAAAGTAACTGTTATTCCACAAGAGAATCTTTTTGTTTGAAAGTCTCGCTTACACGATCTCAAAGCCGACGAAACCCAGTGGTAGCGAAAGCGAAATGGTGTGTCACTTGCTTCTCGTGAATAGAAGATCGACATTCGGAGATTAACCTGTAGAACTGCGGTGAAGTGAGGCTAAATTGGTAGCAGGAGACGAGGGATTGCAGAAGGTTCAATTGAGTGGGAGATTATCGGAAGTCAAGACAAATATTTAGACACGGAAGTGCAGCGACTGGATAACGTATAGTAGAGTAGGTCAGGATACGTAAAAGCAGTAGTTAAAAGCACCCGCCATATTTTCCCAACTAATTTACCTTCATCCGCTTCGAAAACGTGGCATCTGAACGTGATGTTTTGAAACGGAGAAGCTGATAAGTATGCTGAGTGCCTATGGATTCATCTTGGTTGTGTTACGAAAAGTCGAGATTAAAGGAATCGAAGCATAGCAAGTGTTCGAGAGTAAAACTGTTCCTGTTTCACTTAGCGGTTTTTTTTTTCAAACAAAAAACCTCACTGCCTTCACCACAACCCAAATCATTGATTCCACGCATTGCATATTCGAATGCATGTTGCAAACATTATTATACATAGTGTGTAACTGCAGGAAGAGATATTTGCATATGCGACTCATCTAATGCATTCAACTGAACCGCGGCAGCGCAGGTGGGATTACCGGCAAGGGGCTTATGCCACTGCTACTGCAGAATTTCCGCACAATTACTTTAGGCCCGCGTAATTACTAGGATTTATCTCACATTCTCTATATTCGGTTAAGGTGATATAGCAGTCATATGCCGGCAAAAAACAAACTTTGACGAGTTTTCGGTCCTTTCAAATGCAAAAAAATTAAGGTTAACAAATTCGAATCTCAACATATTCATACTCAAAAATGCAAGCAAACGTTAGGAAATCAGACGAGTAGCAGCGTCGAAAACCAGAATTTGGGGCAAGCAAGAGAACGACTGCTGCTGTGAGGTATCTGTAGTTTGATTCCGGCAAATTATAACTCGCTCTGAACAATCGATATTCTTCACCGCGCAAATGAAAATCTGATTTATTCCTCATCCATATACGAAAAGTTGGGCACTAAGTCACAGTTCTGTTTTGAAAAAAGAAGAGAAATGGCGCCTCGGTTTTGCTAGATGCGGTAAATCATGAATGGATTCCAGTATGGAGGCCAAGGACGCTGGAAGACCATAAAGATGACTAGATGAGTGAAAAACGCGGAATCTGAGTTGAACCTTTGCTCGAACGAGCTTGCTGGCACCATTCAACCTAAGACCAAATAAAAACAGCTCCAAATTTCGGATCGGAGTCCAAGGTCGCGGAGAACGCAGTCAGGATGTCAACCTCTTTTCGCACATGTTTCTCTGCACGTGCGGTGTGCGCGAGTGGACGAGTAGACAGGGTGTTGTAGGTGCAGATACCTATCTACGACACAACGGCGCGCAGAGATGCAGTGATCTGTTCGAGGACACGATGAGGAGAATAATGGCGATGGGGAGCGAGGCAATGAGAGTGAGCAAGGATGAATGTGCTCGCCTGAGTTAACAGTCATCTTCACTATTTCGGTGGGACCTATAGCACGAAATTTACTGGGGGCATGAGTAGCATCTCCATAGATTGCAAATCGATTTTAAGATCTGCAGTCATGTAGCAGCTGACCTTACCTGATTATTTACGCTTTCTTTTCTAATTATGAGGCTGCTTAGCTACATCATGAAGATGTATGGTTACCGTACGTGTTCAATGTAGAGTAACAGTTTTTCTTTTGTTCTTCTATAAGCCTATAGCGCATTGAATGAAAAAACAAACAAATAGAAAATGATTCTAATCGAAAAGACGCAAGCTACCAGGATAGGCTCACAGTTTTCTGATTATTTTTGAATGAGGATCGCGTATGATCTGGTTTTTTTTGCGAAACAAGGGCATTGCAAATAATAGAACCAAAAAGAAAAAGAGCACAATATTTTCTTGTCTACTGATTTCCAGTGATGCTTGTTCAATATCAAAATCAGAAGTGGCTAATTCAAAGAAATGGATCAAAATGCAAAATGAAAGAGTTCCCATTTCTCATCAGCAAGTCACGTTTTGAATCAGCAGGTGCAGCGCAGCCAGCAGTCAATTACACATCAAAGCTTGCTTTGTTGCCCAAAATCGAGAATACGAAAGGAATTCCAACTCAAAACTTGTAATTCTCCATTATCAAGGAACAACGCAAGAAGAAGTTCCAGCATCCTGCTGGCCGAACACTTGCTGTAACAGTGAATGAGGAATGTGATTGCTACTACGAGTGCAGTCAGTTGCTGAGAACCGATGCGATAGGGATAGCTGCAATTTGCCCTGCGGTCTTCCGCACCCCGTAATCGATAATTGGCCTAGCGTAATCAGAGTGAATTTGATTGACAATAAAGTCTGAGAGTACCATAACAAGCACCATGATGTTCACGACTACATTCGCTTAAAACTAGGAAGAAAGAGCTCTACATCACATGGCTGACGATTGTTCCACGATAGATTAAGCTGAATGCACCATTAGAATTCTAGAATTCTCACAGTCAGATGTAGAAGCAAAGCGTAACGGTAACAAATCCTCTTCTGTTTAGAACCAAGCGAGTACTATCATGGTTTTTTAGCCGTTGGGGTGTGATAATCGCAGAAGAAACGTCATTGACACAATTCGCAATTCACCCACTGAATGTCAGCAAAGCAGTAGTGAAACCGGGTGAGACTGCCTCAGAAAAAAGGTGGATGAATTTTTTAGACAGATCGTCAGCAACAGAGCCTATTAAACATGTAAATATCATGCGGTTCCGCAGAAAAGTCATGCACTTGTCAGTCAAAGTGCATACAAAGCGTGTTGCTCACAAACAATACAAAATCGGAAATAAAGGAGCAATGTCAAGCTATGATTTTACGAGATAACGATAGTGCTGTAAAATGTTATCAGCTTCATTTTTGCAACCAATGAGCAGATTTATATGAGTAGCATTAAGTTGTCATAAATCAGTGATCGGGTAGTCAGAAAATTCTTGCAAATGCACATGCACAATCTTTGACTAAAATTAATTTCATTGAGCAGGAAAGACAAATTTGATCACTGTAATATTACCGTATGGTACTAATTTTTGTTCCAGATGAAGAGCACTACTCGCGAATTCTAATGCGTCAGAATGACTTGATGTAAGCTATCACACAATATCCATGAGTTACTAGCACCATCTATAGTCAGAACCGATGTAAAGCCGTCCTTACGCAAATATTATACCAAAAAATAAGGAGGAAGGGGAAGGAAGGCAGAGTGAATGTATGCTACGAGGAGCTTTAGCAATCAGTCCTTCATCAGTCAATCTACCTGATCAATATCGAGCCATTGCAGCTTAGACTACCAGAGGCCCTGAATGCTTTTTGCGGCAGAAAATCAAACAGATGTGCTGGATCAGATGTGGGGCGAGTGGCTCTACGGGAGTGATTGGAGAGTCAAAACTAAGATGAGCAGACCACCGGCCTGGGCGATGTTTTGAAAACACGGTCAAGTGGCGCGATTTTCCGTCAATCACGGACAAAACTTCAGTTCAGCAACGCATAAGATTGTAAAAAATAGCAGCACAAGATGATTCAGAACAGAGTGAGGGACAGAAGCTAGCTGCTCATGTTCTTTATTTGAGAACTGAGCGAGATATTGACAAAAGAGCTAAAAGGTTGATCTCGTAGCATCTTGACCTCCCAGCTCCATGACAACACATGTTCACTCCAACCACTTTACTGCTTCTTACAAGCTTTCGTATTAGGCCTTGGAAAGTGTTATTTCTAAATTTCTGAATTTCTAATTTTCTTGGGCATGTCAACAGCGATTACCAAAAATTGCATCAGACACTCGTCCTCAACTTAGCAGTTCCCTAGGTAGGTGCCCTAATCATGATAAATGATGACGTCACCGTCGTCGTCCTTCTAGGTCTCAAGTGCAGTTACACAAACTGACTACTGAAACTGAGACTACTGTACACCCGAAATGAAGCAGACTTCAATCTAGTATACAATGATACACACTCGATACACATCGCAAGGAACGAGAGGGCAAGAGGGGAAGAGGAGTTCATAGTTTGTGTTGGCTTACATTCTTTTACACCTTTCCTTAATTAATCTCAAACATTCCAGATGTGATATCTCAAACCTGTTCCATACCAGATCTAGCTATCAGCACGATCAATGCTGCAAATGCACACATAAGTAGCAATGTGCGATAATTTTTGTGAACGTCATC